GAATCTTCTTGCAACTGGCAAAAAATGTTATATTTTAAAATAAAAAAAAGTAATATATCTATAGATGTTATTATTTATGTGGAAGCTAAATATGTAGGTACTAGGAATATTTTGATACATTTCTGATCCGAATTGATTTTTTATGGCTTAAAAATCCGTATTTACTAATTAAAAACGTAAACTTTGATACCAGCAGAACAAAAATTTGGCAGAAGTGAACATTTAAAAAATTTAGAAGATATTTTTAAAGGACTTCAATCTGCCCAACTGATGCTAAACCCCAAGAAAAGCCAACTATTTCAAAATAAAGTTAATTATCTGGGTCACGTAGTCAGCAAAGATGGTGCGGCTGTAGATAAGGAAAAAGTCGCTTCTATCAAATAGTGGCTACAACCAAAGGATAAACGACAAATAAGAAGTTTTCTTGGGCTTTGTACGTACTACCGAAGATTCATCAGAAAGTTTGCAGATATTGCTAAGCCTTTAACACGACTCACAGAAGAATCGAGAGAATTCTGCTGGGATGAAGACTGACAAACTGCCTTTGAAACACTAAAGAAGCATTTAACAATAGCGCCAATACTAGGCTACTCACTACCAGAGGGAGAATTTATTCTGGATGCTGATGCCAGTAATGTTGGAATTGGAGGAGTGATTTCACAGATTCAAGGGGGGGAAAAATGCCGATTCTCCCACTGACACAAAGCGACCAAAGAAAGTGGACTACTAAGAACAACTGTAGTCAACAATGAGTGGGTCGCTGCTAAAATTAGGAAGAACAAGAGAACGATACCGTTTTAAAGAAGATGCGACAATGGAAAGAGAAAAATCGTCGACCTACTTGGCAAGAAGTATCTAATCTCTCTCATCATATTTGGCTCAGCGGACTCTTTTATACTGGAAGATGGCTTATTAAAGCGAGTACTTGAAAATGATGATGCTTCCGAGAACAAAAGACAGTTGGTCATTCCAAGGAGTAGAGTAGCCGAAGTACTTCGTCAGTTACACGACAGTTCATCAGTATTAAGAAAACCCTTCATAGAGTTCGTGAAAGGCTTAATTGGATGAACAGTTTCGATGATGTAAAGAATTTGTGTAAGAAATGTACCCGCTGTGCTATGAGTAATGGACCTCAGCGAAAAAGGAAGGCTTCCATGAAGCAATACAACGTTGGTAGCCTATTTGAGAGGATCGCCTTAGATATTTCTGGACCATTTCCCCATGACCGAGAATGGTAATAAATACATTATGATGGTGGTTATGGATTATTTCACGAAGTGGGTGGAAGTCTACGCCATTCAAAATCGAAGAGGCCGCAACTGTTGCAGATGTATTGAAAAAAGAGTTTATCTGTCGATTGGGAGTGCCCGTGGAGAACCACAGTGACCAAGGCAGAAATTTTGAAAGTCAACTTTTCCGTGGAATCTGTGAAAACCAGAACCACAGCATTGCACCCACAATCCGATGAAATGGTAGAGCGAATGAATAAGACCATTGGCAAATACCTATCAAAAGTAGTTTCCAACCTTCAGCGAGATTGGGATCAGTATCTTTCTGCAGCCATTCTCCCAGCGTTCAGGTTATAGTGAAGACAGTCCCTTGTTACTTCCATGCAACTGGAATTTATAGTTGCCAACTATACCATCGAGATGAAAAGTACAGACACTTGGCGATTCGAGTCAATGATTATAGGTGACCTAAATTTTGTACATGATCTATGTCAACTTCAGTAGCGTACCCCTGATATAAGATATATTTTCATAATTTCATGACTTTCTTTAAAATAATAATTTTGCACATTCTAGAAGAGTAAATATTAATCTGTTTTAAAATCTACATGTATTTCAATAACTCCCTGTATTTATATATTGTGAATCGAAACAGTTGGGAGAGTGGGATTAGTTCTTTTGGAGTCATTTAAAATATATGTAACTGTCGTATTAAGAGTTTTACAGATAGCAGGGTATATAATATTATTATTTATAGGTGATGTAGATCTGACAATTTTATTCCTTTTTAATATCTATTGAAGGGACAATCGAACAATTAGCGGAATTAAAATTCGTGTCTAACAAATCCATATTATAATATATAAAAATAAACGCCAATAAATTGGAAACTAATTTTTGCCTAATTTCTGATGTAATGTGTTAATCCATTTGGAATGAATAATTTAAAAGTCGATATTTTGTTAGGTCCGTGCAGTAGAGAAAAAGTTAGTCATTGAAACTAATTTCAGAACTAGATGCATTCAGCAGAACTGTGTTGGTGTCCCATAAATGGAAATAATTATTATACATGTAATTTAACCCTCAAATTATACGTATATTTTTATAATAACGTTATAAACGAGGTTATAAATCTTTAAGAATCGTCCCAACAGGTTGCAATAACGTTCATCAAAATTTATGAACCGAATAAACTTTGACAAGAGGTTAAAAATGTGATCTGTCTGAATGACATGACCTTCAAATTACGCCATCTAATAAAGTTGTGGGCAGAGATTAGGGACATAAAGATAGGAAACGCAACGACCGCAGCAACGATGGCGTCATCTATGCATCTCAGATGTTAACTGAAGGTACACGTCGTTTGTAGACAGACAGTTGATGTGGACAACAGTTGACAGTTTGTAAATATAAATGTCAATTAATTGTATGTATATCGTAGAATCCTGAATTTGAATTTTAAATTTTGAGTTTATGAATGGTTTATATTGTAAGGTGAATTTGAGGACAATAATTATATTTTGTAATATTAAAACAGTGAGTCGGAGCACGTATTGCATTAGTAACACATGCCACATGAATTTTAACAACCCCAATATGGCGTTCTTTAATTTACCAAAGTAAGATCTAGCAATGTAATTAACACAAATGGTAGCCACCTTTTGTCGCAAAGTAGATATTTATTTATTATTTATTGTTTTAGAACAAGAAAATGGCTTCAAAACGTTAGAGAGAAGATTTGATATAGAAAAATATCTGAATTCCCATTATTGAATTTTAAAGTTACAAATAACGATCAAAAATTTAAAAATATTTATCTACAATAATAATTAATCAATAATAGACTGTAAGTGTAGTATTTTTTTTAATAAATAATTTAGTGTAACTACATTGTTTAAATTTATTTACCAGAACATGAGAGTGGAATCGATATTTATACAATCTTTATTATCAAGTTTTCAAATTTCCAGCTGCGTTATTTGTTTAATATCGATGAAAGCGCCACATAGTGGGTCAGATGTTAAGAGCGTTAGAGCTGGTCGTTATTAAGCATGGGCTTCTTATGAGCGTTTCCTATCTGTATGTCTCTCATCTCTGGTTGAAGAGTCATTAGCTTTTGAGAAACTTACCAAGCGCTCTTACAATCTGGGAGACCGTATTTTAAAAGGAAACTCTATGGCAACGTTACATATTTGGGTTGTCGCAGAAGAATAACTTTGACAGTGTTAGTCAGATCAAAGCCAAGCACCATTTAAAAAGAGTGTATAATGTTAATTATCTCATGCTTTGATAAAAGCTAGTATATTTTCTAAATAAATGATGTTCCAAAAAGTTGTAGAAATGGTAAAATATCTGACTGAATCTATAAGGTTAACGATTTTACAATAAAAAAAAATATCAAGATCACTTATTAATGATATTTCAAGTAAATGTTTACAAGAAAAAATTGGGCATAATATTAAGAAATCAGTTTCTGATTTTTTTTTAACTTTGTGTTTGGGAGCCTTTTAGATGAACTTTTGTATGTGTATATGACACACCTTCACACGCTGTGAAACAGAAAGATGGGGTTTCTGTATGATTTAAAAATTTTAATCTGTTTGTAATCGTCTCCCATGTTTTATTAAATTTTTACTGCACCAGAAGATGGAATAATGTTCCGAAACATATGTACTGCTTGTGCTTAAATATTATGGAAAATAAAAACAATATGACGGAATAAACGAAGAAAATTTATATTTATATAAAATTCTACTACGGTCAGGAAATTATCCTTATTCAAATATTGTTATTTGGTATTTTTATAAATGGAATTGAAAATTTATGAAAAATAAAAACTCAATATGGATCAAACGGAACACCATCTTGATTACTGAACTCACGGTACGTTTTTAACATGTTCTATCCAGTGACTGCTCACTTTGATACATCGTATGGTTGGTCCAATTTGCTTACATTTGCAATTTATATGTTGTGGCATTTTCGTAGCGAAACGAGAGAAAGATGGATTTCAAGATTGGAATTCCGTTGTTGGATTTCTGACCAAGGAATGCAAAATGCGAATGCCTGCATATGCTACCTTGAATTTAACCGACTTGTCAGGCTTAAAGACGGATTTTAAATAGAACAACTAATGTGAGGATAAATTATTCTGCTGTTTCACTCTAGTACATTGTGTTATTTTTTGTTTTTCAATTTAGCTTTTTTTTTGTTAATTATTACATAGATATATTTTGGAATAAATTTTAAGACATTCAGTTTTAGAGACGAAGTTAATGCCTTCATTTAGACAAAATGTTACTTTTCCTTTATTTAGAAAGGCTCTAGAATTTTAAGACGCCTGCAAATATTTGTAAAATAATCAAAGTCGCAATTTTAGAGACGAAGACGTTAAATCCATTTAGACAAAATGTTACTTTTCTTTTATTTAGAAAGGCCCTAAATTCGGCCACTACTTCTCTAGTTTATTTATTCTGTGGTTGGAACATATTCAGAAACAGGCGCACTGTGTACTAAAAGCTAAAATTATCATATGACTAACTCCAAATTTTAGTATATAAATCATTCATTTTTAGTTTTGGATATTTTTTTAGAATTGAAATAATATATATTATTAACGTAAATCGGCAAAAGTCGACAAAATCTAGTTAAAATCATTTTTTATGCATTTTAATATATTTTTTAATTAACTGATCCTACTATTTTCATCTCAAATTCAAAATAATGATAATAAAAAGCTAAACTCGTTCAAATATAAAAATAACGACTCACCCTTAAGTTGAGTGGTATCAATGGCATACATATTCAGGGCCAGTAATTGGAGTAGCCTGTTGCAGGGGATGGGCACGGGGGAATGTTGTAAGAGAGCTCGAAATTCTCTCAGCATTTGCATCGCAGCTTCTTGAAAACTCTCCATTCTGCAATAAAAATATAAATGAAGTTCATCATGAATGATAAAAAGAAATTTTTATTTAAAACATAATTGAAAAAAAAAATATTTTTAGAAATAACTTTTTAAAGAAATTTATAATACTCGTATTACACAAGCTCGATATTTACAAATTATTGATACAACGAAACTAAATTTAAAACTTTCATATTTCTTTGAACGATGAAACCAATAATTATTGGAGGCATTTACGGAAACAATAACCTCAGATCAGATTGTTAACTGACTTTTATAATTTTTGGTATGACATGTTCTGTGATTACAAGTCACGTTTTGAGATGATTTTGGTCTGCATCAGCAAAATGTAAATGTATTAAACCAAAATCTTGGAATCCTAATTTGATGATTGTTTAGAAATAGTGTTTTGTTTTTGATAACTCTGTGAACGACGTTGTATAATCATCGGTTATTGTTAAAAATAATTTTAATAATGACATTAGTACTTTGAATATAATCAGTTAAAAGTTAAACTCCTGTTAAATAAACTGAGTCTTCAGCATTCTTTGTATAATCCGCCCTTAAAGTAGATCCTTAAAAAAATAAAATATGATATTTTTTTTTATAGAAATAATCTAGTCGCTCTCAAATGGAAGGTACTGGCGAGGAATTTGATTTGGACATTCAAGTGAAGATGGCGTGACTACTCGCACTTTATGTGGGTGTTAAGGCACTTTTATATAGTTGAATAGTCAGACTATCTTTAGAGTAAATTAGACATTCTTCTCGAGCTTACTGCCTCTGCCTGAGGAACCAGAATGGGTCGAACGGGTCGTGGAATTCCAAATCAACGGGTTTGTTGCATCGACAGGGTCATAGATCGTCAGATAGTGACTGATTTAGGTGCCCCATTTTCGCATACAAGTCTCGAAGAGGGTTGAAAAGTACATCGATTTTGAGTAGAATGAATGGAAATTTGCGAGTGGCCCCTGGGGATAACATATGGAAAATTCGATTTTCCTTAACAGAAATAAAAGGTGTTTTTTGCTCATTTTTCCACGCAAGCCGTTTTCATTATATGATTAAAAACAGAACTACTCGTAGCTTCAAAAAACCAAAGGCTTTAATGTTGCAAGTGGCTAAAGGGTTGAAATAAGGGCGTAATCGATATTTTAACCGATTTTTCCACACAAGCCAATCGAGAGTATGAAAACATACGTCGTAACTAGCCCGAAAAACATATTGGCTCGAGTGGCGCGAGTGGATAAGTCCATTTTGAGGTTGGGAAATTTAACAGAATTTTTTTTTCGATTTTTCAGTTATTTTCCCATCGACTAAATTTTTTGCTATAAAAACTTATGAATTTAAGAGCCCAGAAAAAAATAATGGCTTGAGTGCAGAGCGTGGTCTTCATATTTTCAGAACATAGGAAAGTTGCTGGAAAAATATATGCAAATTACCACAATTTTCCCAAACAAGCCGTTTGACATATGCTTAGAAAAAGTGATTCTAAGACTATATAACAAAAAGCTGACAAGAAAATCTAGAAATTTCCACCATTTTCTCACGCAAGCCGTTTGTCATATGCGTAGAAAAAGTAATTCTAAAACGATATAACAGAAGGCTTGAGTATCGGACATGGAGCATATTATTTATCTTAAAAAGAACTGACCAAAAAATTTACAAATATATATATTTATGCAGGGTTATTATTATTTATTGTTCGGTGATTATTCGTATAGTAAATTTTAATATGAATTTAGTGCTGAATTAACAATATATTTATTTTATAGAAAAATTTATATATTCTTCATAGGGCTATTAAATATAAACTTTAAAATACCTGTTAAGGGTCGATCTTTTAACCTCTGAGTAAAGTTACATGTAGGTTTACTTGACAGATTAACATACAATATTCCTATAGTTTAATCAGCAAGTAGTTTTACTTTCAACTTTACTCAGAGGTGAAAAGACTTGGCCCTATTAACAGATTCGTTACAAAGATATGTTGGTCCATTTTTGAATTATTATAAAATTAATGTATGTATAAAATAAAAACGCAGCTACTAAACATGAAAAAGTAGATATTCTAGAATGTAATGATGACAATCAAGTATTCAATGGAATAGACACTTCGTGAAACCATTTTAAATTGCATTTATGTAAGATATTAAATCAATCAAGAATGTCATGAGATAAATCTTTTGACAAATCAAAATGATTTTCTTGAAGTCGATTAGAAAATGTTAATGTTCCTATGCAGTGTTGCCAGTCTAGTACATTATTTAATAATCTGGTACTCTAGTACACTCGAAGCAAAATCTAGTACTTTTACTTTTTTCAGCCCGTTTCCATTTGATGGGTAAAATAATATATAAGAAATGAATCGAGAGTATTTAAAGTGTGTAAATTGAATTTACACACTTTAATATTTATTATTAATAACATTGTTATACATTGTATTTAGTGTGTGATGTGTTTGCCAATGGTGCTGGATAGATAGGTACATTAGGTGAGTATTATTAATTATTATTTAATTGTTTTCACTTAAATCCAAAGAGAGTGGAATGTTGTCCAAAGGAAATTCCCTTTTTTTAAAAACCATGTTTGGTAGACTTTTATAATATATACCTCACTGATTCCAGAAATCGAATAGTATTCTTTATCCAGTAGAGTGTAGGTAGCGATTTTTAAATATTCCGAAATCAATCGTACGATGTTTTTAACAGTAGTAATGCAATAGTTCTCATGCGAGATATAAAATCTAACAACCGCGCAATAAGAAAATCGATATTTGTAAAAGTTGTAAACCGGTTTTTTCATTCATCATTTTACAAATTTAACTCAGAAATTTGTTTATCAGATGTTTGTTCCATAGGCGTACAGAAATACATATATATACAAAAAAACGTATTTAGCCACAATAAATTATTAGTAAATTTACATTATTTAACGATTTACTTTAAAAATGTTTGATTAACTATAATAAATTTTAAATAAACTGAGGTATTAATCGGATAAAGCCTTTTCAATGAATTTTTCAAATATTATTGAAAATAGATAGGTACCTACATATTGTTCTTTCATATAAGTAGTAATATGTTCATTTCTCTTTACGAACAATTATTTTGATTAAACTTAATTAAAATACATTAAATAAATAAAAAAAATCTTCGTTAATAGATATTTTCAACACAATAAAATAGTATCAAGTGTTAGAGCTGGATTTATAAACTTCGTTCAGTTCACGCTCAGCCGAGTTGGTGAGTTCGTGCTGGACCCAATTTATATAGTCGTTGGCTGTTCGTTCGTCGCTGCGAATTTTGACATTTGATTTGATGAGACATAACCACAAACTCCACGAAATAAATTATATTTCGTTGTTATTTTGTTTTAATTATATTTGTAGATGGTATCGGTTATAAAATAATTATAAATCCGTTATAATTTCGTATCTAGAAAAAACCTATCATGTCATTCGTGCCGAACGGCGAACATAAAAGTTGGTCGTCTCTCAGTCAGTGTTGTCAATCTAGTACAGTTGTACTAGATCTAGTAAATTATTTAAGAATCTGGTAATATAGTACATTCGAAGCAAAATCTAGTACTTTTTCTTTTTTAGCCTGTTTCCATTTGGCCGAAGGGTAAAATATGTTCTTAGGTTCCTTGTTTGTGTTCGTTCTTGATAAAAGTTTTTGTTTTGCTCTTCAACCAAACCATTACAATTCCAGAATTAGGGTACAATTCATAGAATCTGGTACATTTTTATGGAATCTGGTACATTTTTATGGAATCTGGTATATTTTTATGGAATCTGGTACATTTCTCAGACAAATCTGGTACATAACAAAAATATATTCTGGCAACACTGTTCCTATGATATTATGTGACATTATTTCAAATTATACAAGTTATTGGATTAAATAATTATTGTGCGTTATTTTTTTGGTTAAAATTGAAGTTACAGGTTGTTGTGTTCTTTACATTAGTTATTTTTCTTCAAATTAAATAATTGGTAAGTACTATGATATACATTTATTTAGTTAAACAAATGAAATATTTGAAGTTTTACAATCATTTAAAAGGGCGTTAAGTTAATAAACATTTAAAATGTATAGTCGTTGAAATAGTCCGGCCACGGGACAACTCTTATAATAAAATTGATATAAAATAATTTTGATAATTAATATTTAGATAATTCAGGGTGATATTTAGGTTTTGATATTTAGGTTTTTAGTTTAATTTTTTTTTACATGGCGAATTCCAACAATAATATTCTATTAATTTATAGAATAAATACTTATAGATAATTTACAGTTATTTGGGAGCAGCATGGTTGAAAATGCAGGAAAAACGGACACGAGGAGCTGTTTTATTTGCAAACAATCCACCCACGAAAATATTATATTATTTGACCATGAATGTTTATCAAAATTTAAGAAAAATATGGAATGTCGAAACTTCTACAAATAGAAGTATATCGTAAAATTACTTTGTATATAATTTAATTTGTAAAATTATTAATAGAATTAACTAAATTCATTCCATTATTTTTTAAATAAATTGTATATTTTTTATATGAAAACCATAATATCAAGACCCATATCCTGCGCATTATTTTCATAATATAAAACGTTATTATACGAGAATGAAATATACGCTAAATTATTTATTTAAAACAATAACCCTGCATAAACATTTCTACGTTTTCTATTTTAAATAAATAATATGTTCCATTTTCGACACTTATGCCTTTCATTATAGGGTCTTATAATCACTATGCCAAACGGCTTGTGTGGGAAAATGGTGAATATTTCTAGATTTTCTTGTCAGCTTTTTGTTAAATAAATTATGTATAATTAATATGATAATCATGTCCGAGACTCAAGCCATTTGTTATATAGTCTTGGAATCACTTTTTCCAAGCATATGCCAAACGGCTTGTGTGAGAAAATGGTGGATATTTATAGATTTTCTTGTCAGCATTTTGTTAAATAAATTATGTATAAATAATATGAAGACCATGTCCAA